ATATAAAGGCCAAAACATACCTACCGCCGAACGGACCTGGACAGACGGGAGGGAGAGTCAGGGGACAGCCAGACCATACCGCCGAACGGACCTGAGCGTACAGGATGGGGAGGGTCAGGGGATGAATAAATCATACCGCTAACGTACCGGGAACGAAAGAACAAAAGGGGCTTGAGAAGCCATAGGGCCTATTCCAGCGCCTCCAGAAACTTCCAGAAACCTCCAGAAAGCTCTAGAATCCTCCAGAGAGCGTTACAGCGCCTCCAGAAAGCTCCAGAAAGCTCTCCCCAAAGCTCCAGAAACCTCCAGTAGCCTCCAGAGAGTTTGAAGGTCCAAATTTCTCTGGAGGCTCTGGTCTACAACTATGGCGCACATGTGACAATCACGAATGTAAACAAAGGACTTTGACTGATAATTTACAACTTGAATGTAAAGAAAATTACATTGCTATAATTTTGTTAATCTTTCTTAATAAAAATGAAAACAATTTTGCATTTCAAGAGAGAACAATCGTCATTCTTTTGGTATATGTGACACCAATCTCCAGAAATCTCCAGATTGCGTTCCAGCGCCTCCAGTGAAACCTCTGGTAGAGCCTCCAGTCAAGAATTTCTACTGGAAGCGCTGGAACAGGCCCATAATGTACCACCAAAACTTTCGGCATGGGGTGTAACAGCAACCTGGCTAGCGTCATCATCATTCACAATCACCAGACACGCTTATCGATTCGTATCATTGGATTCAGCGACACATCCTAAATTTCCCGTCTTTTAACGAGCACCTCTCGCAGTCAACTTCTAAACTGGCACACGAGCTCCACCCATCTCGACCTCCCTGTGACAGTGGCAGCACTGTCGCCCGTCCAGCCTCTGCACCAGTGTCTGGCGGCGCCACTGGGACCCGTCCAACCGACCTCTCCTGAACCACGACGACACCTGGCGGCCGGCCGAGGCGACCATCGAGCGAAACTTAACGAATAAACTGACCGAGCCAGCGGTAAACTCACCGAACTAGGAGCAAACTTACCGAGCCAGCGGTAAACTCACAGAGCCAGCAGTGAAGTCACTGAGCCAGCAGTAAACTCACTGAGCGAGTAGCGGTCAACTCACCGAGCGAGTAGCAGGCGATGCCGACGGGCCGGTGTCGGAAGGAGGCCGGCGGGAAGTGGTCGAGCATGTTGACCAGCGCCGGCGGCAGCGAGCAGTTGTACTCGGGCGTCACCACCACGAACCCGTCGGCAGCCGCGATCTCCGCGTTGGCGTCTCGCAGCCACTGGGGCGCCGCCGCCTGGTCCGGCATAAAGTGCAGCGGCTGCCGCAGCAGCTCGAACGGCATCTTCAGCGGGTCTGAGGCACAGCGGCGGACGTCACGGTCAGTGGGTCTCACATCAGGGTCAGCGCGTCAGCGGCGGATGTTAGAATCACTGCATTATTGTTTTCATCGTCCACGGTAGCGTGAACAGCTTATTTCATGGTCCAAGGTGCCCAAGCACCAGCACATAGATCATGTGCTGGTGCTTGGGCACATACAGGGGCTCCGCCACAGGGGGGTACGCGGGGGTCCGGACCCCCTCAATAATTTAACTGGGGGGTACAGTACCCCCCAATATTCCGAATACTTATAAGCTTGTTTTCGCGTATAGAATGACTATATCATTCACAGAATGTGTTGAATAATTTAAATGTGTTGACAGTCGCAAAGCTAAGGAATTTAAGATAAAAATGTAGGGAACCCTTGAAATGTTGTGACACACGAATTGCTTAACACTCGCCGACCTATACCTATGTACGGGAGTGTCGTCATTCTACCATTTTGTTATTACTATGAATGCGTTTAAGATTGCTAGGATTAGCTAAGCATGCCAGGATTGGGCTATAATTTCGTGAGAGGTGTCCAGCTTGCAGGACACCTCCTAGACACATGAATACCCGCCCCAAAAGAGCTTCAAATCGAGCTTCAAATCCTCTTACCATGTAAGGTCAGGTCACCCGTTATTGCTGGGGGGGGGGGGGGTCCAAGCCGGTCTTTCGAGCACCATACTAGTCTAAGCAGCTTCACACCGTTCTGAGGTAATCTGCAATAATCTGCACAGGGCTCTGAATGCAAGTTGGTAGAGATATGACATCTACAAGTCACAACTCTTACAGGATCCCCATAACCTGACCTTTGATTCAAGTGCAGCATTTTGATATCCATTTTCAGGTCAAGCTAGGTCACACTCTAATCACAGAGACTGAATGTCAGTCTCTAAGGACCCCATACTGCTATATGAGGGCAGGGTTTTCAAATCCCTACAACGACTCCTAAAGCCCTGCGCTTTCCTTAAACAACTTCCTTGGAGGACCCGACACCGGCCTAAGAGCCTACATATATATCTGAGCGCGTATGAAGGTCCCTGAATTCCCGAGCCCATGCCAGTCACTGAGAGCCTAATGCGCTGTCTGATGGCTAACACCGCACTTGGAGCGCGCAACAGCGGCCTCTATTCCTCAAGAACGTTGATTTGAGAGGCCACCATGTCGGTGTCAATGGGCTCCGCTTCTCGGTTTTCGATTCCTTGTGCAAACTGGACCTTGGTTTTTCGGTTTAGAGCAAAAATTTTCAGATAAAATTGTTAAGTTTTCTTTGAACTCTGGAAAAACGGATTTTTCTTATCGATTTCTGGAGCTGCGGGAGGGGGAGGGTGAATTCGCCCAAAATGCCCACCCTGGAACCACCAGCGAGGCTTTGTGTTTTGCGTCGGACCCCCCCAATCCCAAAACCGTGGCGGAGCCCCTGGGCACATAGGCCCTAAACATAGGCCCTAAAGCTAAATATATTTACACGTAAATTTATCAGCATTTTGGCCACATACATCAACCATCAACCAAAATTTCATGAAGTACCCAGGTGCCAGCCCGACGTGCTAGGGCCATCCCTCTTATCCCGATGATAACGTATCGCTGATATATAGGTCATCGAATATAGCGAAAAATGCCACACATCATCAGTTTTTTAAATGGCTATAACTCTGGTTCCTTTTCTGGTATCAAAATGGTATCAACAGGGTCTTATAGGTAATTGATAAGGCTTTGATTTTTAATTATAAAATTAAATTGAAGTGACCTTGAAATGCATTTGACCTTGAATTAAAACAGAAAAATTTAAATAGCAAAAAACACGTCACCTTCGATTTGGGTAATTTTTACATATTATGTCCGTCACAATGTTCCTAACCATCTGTGAAAAAATTGGAGTGGGCCATTCATAACTTTCGCGGCAAACGCCGTTTTCATGCATCAACATCACGCAACCGCGCGTGACCTTGAAAGACAGAGTCAAGACATGCTTGCTTGTGTACACTTTCTGAAATGAATGATTGCTGATTAGTGATATAGAGGATTCTTCATGGCTCCGAGTGGAAGATAAGGATATCTTTTCCAAGCGGGTTACTGAAAAACCGAGCGACGAAGGAGCGAGGTTTTTCTGTAACACGCGAGGAAAAGATATCCTATCTTCCACGAGTGAGCCATGAGGAATCCTATATCTTTCTATGTTGAGGTTTATTCTTGATTAATAAAATATTATATTTAAATGTATTCATCTATGTAAAAATAGATCCGGAGTAGTTTGTTCATATTTCATAAGTTTCATCAATAAACAACCATTAAAAATGTTGTTCGGTTATTGACCCATCATCACTTGAACTCTTGATTTTTCGCTATGAACCCTCGATACCTTATCTTTGCATCTCAGAGGGATGCAGAGATAACAATTTCTTATCTCTGCATCTCAGAAGAGTGCGAGATAGAAATATCCCTGCACTGTAGACCCAATGGCAAATAAACCTCAACTAGAAAGATATCCCAAACTCTGCGAGAATGGAAATGCGTAGTCATCGTAGTCAAGCATTCACGTTCCATAGTAAAAGTGTCTCAGGCAAACGGTATTTTGCGGTGAATTTTGAGCCGTGTGGAAATGCATCATGAAGTAAATTCAACGAAAACATTATCACGCAACGATATCTTCACGTCTTTTGATCTTCACTATACGAAAGAACATACATTTTTTAGTATGTATGGGGAATTTCTAGTTAATCCAATAATAAATATGGCAGTTAGAGGCCAGCTAATTGAGTAACATGTCGCCGGCTGAGGCGGGCTCGGCCGATGCGGGAAACGCAGCAATCACAATTTTGTGTTTACACGTTCATATTTCAATTGTTTACCAACCGATTTTCAAAATTCTTTCACCATAAGATTGCCTGTACATTTCTTAGTCTTCTCACAAAATTTGACGCGAATCGAACGTAATCAGCGGTAGGGAGCGCGATGTAAAGACGGAACCGTTCTGTTCCGTCCCGGCACAGTCTGCAATTCAGGCGGCGCGTAGCGGTCGGCGCCGGCTGCCGAGTCGCCGCGTCGCTGCGGCGACAGGATGTTCACTTTACACCGCTATTACTAGAACAGTTGCGAACCGATTTTCTTATTGCTTGCACGATGAGATGTCCAATTCAATTCTTGACAGGTAGCCATAATTAATTTCGCATTAATCTTATGAGATATTGGCGAAAAACAGGATGGGTGGGCGAAATTCGCTCTTCCCCCTCCACTGCGCGTGCTAACATACGTTTGCATATGTGCAATTTTCTTCAAAACTTATGAATGGCCCACTCTAATTTTTTCACAGGTTGTTAAGAATATGGTAGGCAATAAAATATATGAAAATGAGCCAAATCGAAGGTGACGTGTTTTTTGCTATTTCAATATTTGTGCTTAAGAACAGAGTTAAGCAAATTTCAAGGTCATATATTTAAGTAGGTGCAATTCTAAACAAATGCTTAAGAAATTACCTAAACAGTAAGGTTTATTTCATTCAAATCAAACAAGTACAACCAAAGTTATGGTCGTTCAAAAATATAAAGATGCAACATTTTGTAAAAATTTGATGCCCAATATTTAGAAGACCTGTGGTCAGAATGTGCAAAAAACATCAATGTAATGTCCGGGGCCACACAGGAACTCGCTCACAAATTTATAATGAAATCGCTGATGGTAAGGTGCAAAACAGCCGATTTTTGTTCGATTTGACGTGGAATGCCCCTGTTACCACGTCCATATCGAACTACACGGGCTGCCAATATCACAGCACGGTGCGCCAGCTTATCATCAACTGGTAGGTACTCGGAGATGGGCACCGAGATGAGCAGTGAGCGGTGATCACCATGGCTGTAATTGGACACCACACCAGTGCCATGGTGCCTCATTTTAGTATACCGAATACCGATATAACACTAATTGCACATTCAGGATAGCTGCTCTTCATATGTATATAGTAATTAAAGTTTGTTAGTGAACTCTTAGACAGGGTTTTAGACGGTAACAGTCGCCCATTTCTTTTTTTCTGATGAAAAAATGCGATGACGAGGAAAAAAGGATGTTTGTCCACATCAACCCTCGAGCTAAACAGAAAATGTGAAGTGCTAATACAAAAGAACCTGATGACATGCTAGTTCTTCACAACAGCCTCGGCCCGTTGCTATCACAGCGAGGAGAGGCAAACAGCTCCGATGTGAGATGTATCGGTATGACGTCAACGAGTTTTAACTGTACCGTGTTGATGCTGACCGCCGGGGGGAGGGGTGGGGGGCAGAGGGTGCGCACAAAGAAGGCAGTCCAGGCGGCGGCACGACCTGGTAACCAGCAGAGGCCACCTTGACACGTCGTGGTCATCTGTTACCGGAGTCCAAATGCACGCAGGCGCGCACGGCTTCGTTTTGATATAAAAACCAGCAATATAGGTAACCAGCCTCTGGATTACTCGAGCAGACCAAGCAGCTGTCAATGCCACTTTGAGTGATGTTACACTTTTGAAGTAGAAAATATATAAACAAATAAAAGAAACAACTAACAAGCAATATCAAGCACCGTCATCCGCGCCAGCCGCTCTGATTGGGATGACGCCACCACCGAGCCATCTCGAGCGGCCGATTCTGCCCGGTCACGCAGGCGACAAGTGTTTACAGCGAATACCGTCCTGATTAGCAGTCTGGCTGTGTGTCTTACACTCGAGAACGCCTATCAGGGATGATTGTCAGCCTAGGAGCAGTGCCACATCACAAAAGCCGTCCAAAGTCTCTGACAATTCACCACTCGAAGGGCCACGACGGGTCACAGGGTGCGATCAAGTCGCCTGACGACAATGCGAACGTTCAAACGCAATAAAAAGTGAGTGCCATTCGGCCGCGAGATCAGATATCTATCAGCATTATCGGTGTGCAAGGTCATCCAAGCACAACTGCCTAGTGACCGACCGCCTCCTACCGGATGACGGACCTCGATAGGGCGAGCTGAGAAACCCGCCACTCCCAGTTCCCCAGACTAATTGTTCGGTCCGGCGCTCCCAATTTGCTAGCGTCACTGTCGCCAACCTCATATCATCAACCGATGTGGGATGTCTAACTGTAAGCACGGAACATGCAGCAGCCATCGTGTGCTTCGCTTCGCCTTTTCGGAGAGCTCATCCCACAACCACACAGGAATAAAGTCATTCCTTCCAAGCCGTCCCTCCCTCGGTCGGTGTGTTCCCAGCCCCACTCACCGTGTCTCCCGACTTCCCGGCGTAGGCGAACTGGACGCGGATGTCGCCCACCGCAGGCGACTCGATGTTGTCGCAGTGGTAGAAGATGTCGCCGTGCAGCTTGATGCTCCGGTCGGCCGGTCGCTCGTCAGAGGCGAACACCGTGAAGCGCGTCAGCAGCTGGCGCAGCTCCTCGGTCACCAGAAAACCGGCCAGGTGCGCCACGGGCGCCTCCTGGATCCGCGACTCGAGCGGCATCGTCCTGGGGAGGGAGAGTGAGAGAACTGAGCAGAGGTAGCGGGCGATGGTAGCAGGAGGGGCATTCCACGATAGATCGACCAAAGCCGTACACCCTCATATTTTATTTTTTGCTTAAAATTGGTCTTATGGGTTGTGATGGGCGGGGAAGCCAGCTGTGCCAAGGATTTTTTTCTTCGTACAACGGTTTCCGAGATATAGCCTCAGGCAATTCCTGGAGGTCACGCTGCAACCCTATGTTTGGCGGCTTATAACTCAGAAACTATTGGTTTTCTATGGTAAAAACTTTATATGGTTCAACTCGCAATCAACCAACAAACGTTTTGGCTATCTCGGATTTTCGATTTTTGAAAATTTTGATCACGTGATATCTTGACCTTTTTTCGAAGAGTGACCTTGATATTTTCCCAACTGAAAGTCGCAATTATGTCTGATGACGATTAAAGCCTTATCAATTGTCATTCATATGCGAAAATAAAGAAGTGGCTATCGCCCTGCGTTGACCTCAGGTCAGGTCATTTTTATGGCCTGTCCATTATTACGAGCGGGAGCGACAGCGAGATCTCGAGAATAGAGCAAGATAGCGACAAGCGGTAAACGGTACAGGATTCACACGGATAAGGTCTACAATTTTTACTGAGGTCATTTTCAGGTCAGGTAAAAAATGACGTCACAGGGGTAAAAAGGAAGTCAAAATAGTTTTGGCTGTACCTTTTGATCTAATAAAGAAAGAGACGTGGAACAGGCACCATTGTGTTTGCTTTCGCCTAGCGCCAGTTCGTTTTGAATTTCAATACCGATGACCTAAGGTCAGGTCAATTTCTTGACCACCCCATTATAAGTCAATTGGGGAAAAATCAGCTCCCTTGTTTTTACACTAAAACGCGTCGGAATTGCCAAATATACCATGAGTGACTTCATATACGACTAACTTTGACTACCTTGAGACCTTTTTTGCTCTTGGTCAACTGTGACGTTGCTCTTGGGTCATGTGACGTCATTAACCTTCCAGGCGGTGGGGGGGCATTTTTTTGCCCCCCCCCCCTTTAGTTTTTTTCAATATATCTCGAGAACCGCTGCGCCGATCGTCACCAAACTTTCAGTACCCTCCCGGGAGCAGCTAGCGCACATGGTGACCAAAAATTTTTCCAAAGGCTATGATAGGTTGGCCGCTAATGACGTCAGAGTGACGTCAATTTTGCCATTTTCGACCCAAAAAAAGGTTTCGCGGGAAGAGCTATCAGGCCTACAGCTTTAGAGATACAGAAAAATGTTTCAGACATAAAAGGTGTGAAATCAAAAGGGCTACAAAACTGCAATTTCGGTTTTTTCGAATTTTTTGAATTTTGACCCCCAAAAATCAAAAAATAGATTTTTTGATTATAATAGCCAAAAAATCCAAAAAAATCTTGAATTTCGAAAAAAAACGGAATATATGTGATAGTCCCTACCGCCTTCTATCTACATACCAAATTTGAGATCGATACCTCTTTTTTTGGCCAAGTTACAGCGAAAAAACTGTTCAAAATTGATGACGTCAAATTTTCAAACTCAATTTTTAGCAATTCTAGACCTCGTAGCGCAAAACAAAGACCACCATTAGACTCCCCGTGACAAGCTGCATCGAATCGATACCCATTTTATGCAAAAATATCAACTTTGAAATTTGACCTTTTTTGACCTGACCTTGACCTGACCTCCACCAGTAAGTGACCTAAACCGTACCTGATGGTCTTATAACCAACACCATTGAGTTGGAAATGAAAAACTGGCCATAAAACATGCATCGCATAACCTTAGTAAAGTTGGGCTCATGTGGTGACCCTTGGTGACATTTGGTGACCTGACCTTTGACCTGACCTGGTATGACCAGTGACCTCTAATAGCAACATATGTACTAGACAACTGACGCCTTATCGCTGATTTTCGACAAAATGCGTTTTACTCGGTGTTATAGTGCTTTCCCTAGAAGCCCCGTGAACGGTGAAACATTTTATCTTTGACCTGACCTGTGACGTCATCGGTGACCCCGAGGTCAATGAAATTTGGTTTTCTTCGACAAATTTGACAGGGCTATCGAACGCCGTTTGAATTTTCCGGATCCGTCCAGTAGTTTCGGAGATACGGGGGAGGGGAAATGCCCCCCCCCCCCCCCCACCGCGCGGAAGGTGGCTGGTAGGCCCACCGCCTGCCGGGTTAAAGGTCACCAAATGTTTTTTTGCTAATAACTCCTTACAGGTTTGAGATACAGCCGCGCGGATAGGCTCATTGTGTTCAGCTCGTCAAGGCCCATCGAATGATATATGGGTGTCCGTCAAAATTCGTGGAGATATGCTGTCCCACGATTTCAATAATGCCTCACGTCAATAAATGAGCTTATTTCAGCGTAACACGGGTTCGTACGCGAGATTTGGACATTTGATTGAAGAAAAAAAATCGTTGAAAAGGCAACGCAAAGTGGCATAAAAAAAATTTGGACATCTTTCCCAAACCGTGCTTTTGTGTGCCTATGTATTTTAGCTTGTCCCACAACCTGCGAAAAAAATCTACATAGCTGCTGTGTAGCTATTTTTAGAGATAATTGAGCGCGATTGAGCGTTGTGAATAGCAAAAACATTGAAATTTCTCTTCATGGTTCTTATTTTTTGGTTATACAATTTAGCAAAACTGCACAACGCAAAAACGTCTGTCCCACGGTTTTTGGCAAACTTTTTTCTGGGTCACGTTTGTTTCTGGGTCACGGTACTTAGCTCCTCATTCAAAGCATTACGGACCGCGTAAGCAGGGTCTGCAGACTTGCATATGGTCCTATCCCGCGAAGGCGCAGAGAGCGGGGGCGGAAACTGAAAACTGTCAGTTGGGCTGGGCGAACCCAGGGGAAATCATCTCCTGCGTGCCATAAGATTTCTTTATTCTGGGTCACACGCCCTTGTGGCTTGTGGCTGGTAAGTGTCGAAAAAAATCACAGTGTCGTGTTGCTGCGTGCAACACGACTCCAGATAAGATGTACTTGGAGATTAGTATTCGATAACAAACTTGCCATATTCGGAAAACTGTAAAAACCATTCCCCTGGGTCACGCATTTTTTTCTTCTGGGTCACGAATTTTAGCGTGACCCAGGAAAAAAATCGTGACCCAGAAGAGAAATTCTGCCCACCTACATCATCAAGACATGCAAGTCTTTCCGCCTACGTGTGGAGAAGGTCATTGCCGATAAGGGGGTTATATCGCGCAAGAGGTGAGTGAATGTATCTGGTTTGATAATGCGTGACCCAGAAGAAAATTTTATTTTTTTCTGGGTCACGGACCATTTTACGCGCATGCGCAATGGCATTTTTGAATAATTTCAACTGTGAACAGCCTAGGGTGCATGGTTTATGAAAAGGCAATGATTTCTAGAAAATCAGCTGTGGGACAAATACCGACCCAAATCTCCACGAATTTTGACGGGTACCCATATATGATGACCTTAAGGTCACGTGACCTAAGGTCAACTTTTGACCTTGACCTTTCGAGGTCAACATACACATGTTTCGATGCGGATCGACGAGAGGATCACGATGGTGCTATTAGTTTGTTCCTAGCTAGGATACTATGAAAGTTATTCGAGAAAAACCTCATATATATGTAGTGCCGCCATTTAGACTTTCTTTTTACCCCTGTGACGTCATCTTTGACCTGACCTGAAAATGACCTGAGTAAAAATTGTAGACCTTATCCATGTGTACCTTGTGCCGTTTACCACTTGTCGCTATCTTGCTTTGTTCTCGAGATCTCGCTGTCGCTCCCGCTCGTTATAATGGGAAGGTCATAAAAATGACCTGACCTGAGGTCAACGCAGGCCGAAAGCCACTTTTTTATTATCGCATATGAATGACAATTGATAAGGCTTTAATCGTCGTCAGACAAAATTGCGACTTTCAGTTGGGAAAATATCAAGGTCACTCTTCGAAAAAAAGGTCAAGATGTCACGTTATCAAAATTTTCAAAAATCGAAAATCCGAGATAGCCAAAACGTTCGTTGGTTGATTGCGAGTTGAACCATATTAAGTTTTTACCATAAAAAACCAATAGTTTCTGAGTTATAAGCCGCCAAACATAGGGTTGCAGCGTGACCTCCAGGAACTGCCCGAGGCTATATCTCGGAAACCGTTGTTCGAAGAAAAAAATCCTTGCCACAGCTGGGTTCCCCGCCCATCACAACCCACTAGACCAATTTTAAGCAAAAAATAAAATATGAGGGTGTAAATTTTATTTATTTTTGGTCGATCTATCGTGGAATGCCCCAGGAGGGGAGAAGTGGAAGATTTCGTGCTACATATGCAATTTTATGCTACTAGATTGTTATGTCAGTTTGGAATTATAAATCAAATCTCTCCAGTTTCCATCGGATATTTCGCTGGAAGCGCATGTGTCCTGGGCGCGCAGTGCAGGCCTGACATCCTAGACAGTACAGGGTGTCCCGAAATTGATGCGCGGTTGGTGCCGCATGTTATGTTGTCCCTCCCGAGTGCTGAACAACTGCAATTTTACCGGTTCTGGCACCACGGACATCTTGCTGGTCACACGATCACGTGAACCAAGCGGCTAACCCGACCGCGGCCGGTAGTGGGCGCGGGAGGCCACTCTTGTCCAGACAGGCAACGTGGAGAAACCGCATATCACCAAAAGTGAAAAGGCACAAACTACCGATCCGCTACCGCGCGGTGGGGATGATCAAGGACGGTGTGACCCAGGTTCCGGATGCCAGAGAATTGGGCGTCAACTCTGCGACAATTAAACTTTGGATGGACTGCAAACGATCAGGAGAGACACTCAAGAACAGCACAGTTCGAGGGCGGAAGACTGCCTTGAGCCGAGTGGCGAAAATCGTGATTGCAAAGTCGACCTTTAAAAAGCACCATTCAACATCGCTGACAAGAAAACTGAATGAGATGCATGTCCCAGCATCCAAATCGACCCTCCACCTGTATTTGAAGACTATCTTGAAGCTGATGCTGCTCAGCTTCAGGATGCAGACTTGGCCTACCGTGGTCCAGAAGTGCAGGCAGCTGGATTTCGCGAAGACCCACAAAAACTGGACCATTCAGGACTGGAGATTCGTCCTTTTCAGTGACAAGGTGCCCTTTGTGGTCTCTAAGCCCCTAACTGCCAGAACGATCGAAATGTGGGCCAACGGCAGCTCTGAGGAGTCCGCTGTCGAGACGGTGAAACGTCTGCTGAAGAATCTCATTTGGAGCATGATGAGCTACAGAGGCGCTCTGAGCTTCACGAGGTGCCTCGGGGACAGACCGTGACTGCTTATTACTATGTCAACGAGGTGCTGAAGAAGACTGATGCCACAAAGATGCTGAGGGAAAAGGTAAATGGTTCAAAAACCAGACTCAAACTTTTGTCGGACATGTCCAGGGCCATTTTCCAGCAAGAAAGGGCTCCAGCTTATCACGCCAGGAATACCCAGGACTGGTGCCGAGCGAGGCTCCCAGGCCTCTGGAAGAAGGGGACATGGTCTGGCAACAGTCTGGACCTGTCCCCGATCCAAATTATCTGGACGATCGTCAGAAAAGAGCTCAGCAAGCTTCCACGGGCTAGCTCACAGAAGAGGCTGTTTCAGAAGATATAAGCGGCATGGCGTTGTTTCAAAGGAGAGACTCTTGACAACCTGAAACGTGACACGCTAGAGTGCAATAGGCCGTGTATGCAACTGAATGGGGACTGTGATAACATATAAGCCGTGAAATAAATTCGAGCACTTTATAAGTTATTGAAGATAGAACAACGGCGCATCAATTTCGGGACACCCTGTAATACTTGTCTGTCCCAACAGCGGAGCAGGGATCGTCACGCGGAACACAGGTCGGTGTTGGTCCGCTGACCACGTGAGGGTGACTCAGCAGCACGGAGAAACGGCTATGCCGAGCGCTGACTCAGAGACGGCGGGTCAGGCCGGGGTCAACGACGAGCACCTACGATATGGCGATCAAATATACGTGACACGAATCCACAACGGGCGTCATCGCTGACAGGGACCGGCTTTGTGGAAAGGACAATCATCGTCTCATGACAGACATGTGATTAGAGGTACCACAAGCGGATTGAAATCAATGAAGTTATTGCTACGAAAGAGGTCTTCCATTCCTTACTGCTTATATTGGTTAGTTATCATTTAATTTCTTTAAATAGCGCACGTTGTCGCAGCCCGTAGCGCACGTTGATAATCAGCCGCTCCAGTGATAGATCTGGCCGTGCAGCTTGATGCGTCGGTTCACCGGACGCTGGACCGGACGCCGCTACTTATCCCAGTCATTTTCCAATTGCCCCTAAACGTAGGAGTCATTAGGCCGATCGTGTCGTTTTAAATAAACCTTTCCAGAGCACGATTTCAGAGGACGTATGTAGCTCTGACTCTGGATACACGTCGACTTAAAGTTGCTATCCCGATCGATTTATATCCTGGTCTGATAATACATTCCGAGTGGTTTCAATGATAACAGGACAGGCGGATATGGTTGTGCTGTAAAGGAAGATCTTTTCTGAGTTGGACAGCACTTTCCGTCATTGCCGGACATAGACGTTTTTCGACCGTCGCTGAATAGTCAGCGGGCAGTTTTACAAACAAAAAGGGGCCGCCAGTTCTTCCCGAGGACGAGATAAATAGAAAGGGCCCACAACATACTTTCTTGCTCCTGATGCTAAAAGGCACAAACTGACAAACAAGGTCATTTAATATAAGCATTCAGACAAAAATTAGTCAGTTTGTCGGCAACATTAACAATTCTAAGAACCTGGAAGATAAACTATCGCCCAGCACTGCATTTCAGCACCAAACACAGCATCCGCTACAAAATATCCTCCCAATCCCATCACAGTTCATACTCTAAAACCCACTCTCATCTTCAGAACATAGAAGATGTGAGTAAAATGAAAAAGACAATATAGGAGCGTAAACAGCGTCGACATACGAGGGGGTATCGAAAAGTTCTGATCATCACATAGAAGATATAGACCGATTTCGATGATTTTTTGTTGGTATTATATTTGGTTCTCAAGAACAATGTTCTCGTAAGGAAAATCCTGAGAAGTGGTTTTATCTTATGTAGGAGAGACTTAGAAGTAAAAAAGATGAGTATTGGCCTATTGGGCCCATTGAGGACCGAACCGTCATCCAACTAATGCATTTGAAACGGTATCACACTGAGAAAATACATCAAGCACGTGAAATTAGTTTATGGCGAGGAAAGACTATCTCATGCACTTACCGAAAATGAAAAAATAATTTTCGACTTGGTTGCATGGCCTTTGCAGGGGAGTCAAGAAGTGAGTGACTACCAGTGACTGACAAGGTGGTGACTGTGAAGGAAGTGGAGGACCTCATCCTTACAGATCGTCGTGTGACCTTTCAGATGATTGTGCAACAGAAAGGTCTCAATGCTGGCAGTGCCTGAAAATATTATCAGCGAAGAACTATACAGACGATAAAGGAGTCAGCCCGCTTAGATGTTCGTGTGTCTACTTTGTTGAAGAGAAAAATGTATCTTGGCCTTTCGAAACGAAAACTAGGCCTTTTTTAGGAAATTGAAGACATCTTCGATCATTTGATGACTTGTGACGAATGCTGGGTCTATGTGTATGATCCAGAGACTAAAAGATGATCAAGAAGTTTAAGCACGGCACATCTGTGCTTCTTAAAAGGCGAAGATGCAGAAGCCGATATGGAAGGTCAATGCTATCAGTGTTCTGGATCTGGCGTAGAATAGTCAGCACCGACTGTCTTGATGATGGTCGGATAATGATAAACAAGCACTACTGCACACTTTTGAAGAAGTTGCGAGATGGCCTCAAGCAGAATCGCCGCAAAAAAAAAACCAAGAAAGATGTTTTATCCTCACCGACAGCGCCCCCGCCCATTCGTCCTGAGCTGCGGTTGAAGAAACAACATGATCTGGACATTAAATCCTACCGCATCTAACAAATTCATCTGACCGGGTATTAACTGACTCTTAATTGTTACGGGAAATGAGGAATCCACAGTATGGCCGGTGATTTAAGGACAGAAATGACGTCATTGATGAGGTGGAGCAGTGATTTACGGGACAGTGCGAAGGTCCTACAATGACCGCCTGAGGCAGCTCAAGAAACGATGCAATAAGTTTGCGGTCGTGTGTGGTGACTTGCGAAGGAGTAATGAATATCATGTAAAAAAATCAAATTTCTATCACATCTAATTCATGGTAATGATCAGAATTTTTCGATACCCCCTCGTGGGTGAACAGCAAATTCGATAGTTTTTTCTTGAATGGTGAAATGTGAGACTGATATGGGTAGCAGTTCAGTGTCGGTCATTGCAGGAGAAGCTTAAATCAACCTTAATCTGGCTTGGGAGAGGAAGGTTTTAGCGTCCAAAGGTGGTGGAATAGAGGTTTAAAAACTAGAAGCAGAACAGTTTGGCGACTGATTACGCTGAAACATCTAACGAAAGCTAACCAGAGGTCTAAAGAAGGTCAAAACAAGCAACATATTGCAATGCAGCGTTAGATCTTCACAATGTCGACCATCCAAAAAAATAGGGAGAAAAATAAAGCAGTTTCGAGAAACTGAAATCCTATGAACCACCATTGGCATTCAATGGTATTGGCTGTTGACTTGGCACTGCCTTTGAAAAGAAAAATATGGCAATGCACCATACTACTACACATTGAAAACTTGCAAGTCATGTTTTCCTTTAGATTAGCTAAGTCATCTCCCAAGCACCGGCTGGTACTGTCGCGACTACGATGCAGCGAACACGCGCTGCATTGAAATGCCTTCAACACCGCGACAGCTGATAAGGTAAACATTGATAAGTTAGAAATTATGTAAGCAGCTGCTCGCCAGTTTTATATAACGTAACTACTAATTCGGATTCCACGCCGGCGCATGGTTGTACATGTGTCCTGTATCATACCGACATGCCGCATTCCATTTCGAAAATGCTCGTACTGAAAACGAAGACTACAGTTGTTTGATATGCAATTATGCGCTAAATCGATAGACGCTGTAACATATATGGAACACTTCAGCTAAAACAGGTTATTGGGGGCACAATATGAGGCATGACAACGCACTTTAATGTCGAAACATTGACGAAATGTCAAAGTAACGTAAAAACCGGAAGTCATATGAGATGATAATCCACTGGGGCACAAAATCGTCAGTGATCATCGAGTTCATATTTGGGAAACGACTAGAACGAACGGAACGGCATAGTTGTTGTCGGATATTTACGATAAACTGAGCCGATGATGCGACCTTTCTCAACACTCACTTTGGGTTTTCGTGATTGAACGGCGAGTTGAACGACGAACTGTCCACCAGTTTGTCTTTCCATGTTTTGTAGTAATTGTACGACGTCTCCACTTGTTGTCCATCGGCCGTTTCCACTGTCCTGGGAAGATTGAAAAATGGATCAAAACATAGCAGGGCTATATGCGTATCTGTCGCATAAAATCGACATCACTTGATTGAAGCTAACAAAAATGTGAATACAAAGAAAAAACAATCAAATGTTTTTAAATATGCACCAGTTTTCTCTTATATTACCCTTTACAATCGACAGAAGACAATGGAAGAGAGCTTCCAGTCGTCTATGAACCAGCTCCACCCACCAGGGTTGTGCATTCGATGCCTCTGAAGCCCCTGCCCAGCTGACCGACCGACAGCTCTGACGCCTCTGACCCACCTGCTGTTCCACTCCTCCACCCACTACGGCTGCTCTGACGCCTCTGACCCACCTGCTGCTCTGTTCTTCCACCCACTGGTACATCTGGACGCGCCGCTTCAGCTTGACGGCGGCCACGGCCACGCCGTAGCGCGGCTCGGTCAGCGGTTGCGGCACCTCCAGCTGCGCCGTGAAGTGCACCAGGCGGCCGTCGTTCTCTGGCAGTGGCCGCTGCGGGGCGCTCAGCGGCACAGCGCTGCTCAGACCCTCCGACAGCGCCTTGGCGCGCTCCACCGCCCGACCCTGGCGTCACAGCCAGGTCAGAGGTCAGGAGTCTAATGAATTTAAAGTGCCACACCCAAAATGCCAGAATGTTAAGCCATGCACACCAAAATAATACTATAACACTAAACACAGTCAGCAATTTATTTTAGATGTTCAGAAAAAGTAAGAGGCTTTTAGACATCACATGGAGTGATTTACCTTCTCCACATGAAAAATAATACCAATTAATCTTCTCCATGAACTTCATAGGTATCATTTTTAACTGGGTAAGATGCCTAAAAATGTATCTTCAAAATCAATTAGATGAAGTTAACATAAAAATATTAGCAATATTTTGAATTCCTTAGGACAGGAATGTGTTGCAAATAAACTGAGCCAAGTACCTCATTCCAAAACTGCAGTCCGATACCACCAAAGAAGATAGCTATCCCTACAAGAGATAGCACCATGCTGGCCTTGATGGATTCCCAAAATGACATTGGCTGTCTGGCCTGAGTCCTTGAGTGTAGGAGTGGCTCAGTATCATCTCTGGCAGCGCCTGTTTGCCTCTGCCGTAGCCCATCCTCATCCATCCTGAAATGAGGGCGAAGATAAGTGGTAAGGTTTCATCACTGTAACAGACTCCACAGACCCATAGGCGTCGCCAGACATTTTCGGTTGGGGGGGCAAAATCAATTTTTGTGTTAAATCTTGCCTTTCCCCGGCCGTTACTCACTCGTTTTCCATATCATTCGACGCGCAATGGTGCGAGGAATCCGATGGTGACAGAGTTTTCCTTCTAGCTATGACATGTAATTTTATTAAACAAAAAAATCGAAATTTTGAAATTTCTGGACTAAAACGACCGGTAGAATTACAGTTGCTGCAATTGCCGACGCACTGCAGAGGGCCCCTGTGCAGACGCTCGTCGCTCATGATCATCACCCAGAAAAAGGTGAAAAACGCTCCATTTAATCGGATCACCCTGCTAAAACCTCCATTCACACATGCATGAAGAGGTTTTACATGAAATGCATAGGGCTTATTCCAGCCGCCGATTGTAGCTGATGTTGGGCATTCGGCGGAGAATGAATGTCGGAAGTGTGAATCGGAAGTAATTCATTTTTGCTCCAGTGAGAGGAAGTGTTTTGTTCACTCGAGTGTGAACAAAAAAAAAGTTTCTCGTTTTTCGTGTGAAGGGAAGCGCTGCAAACGCGACCAAAACATGTTTAACGGAACCAAAAGTTACGCACGAGATAGCGGCAAGGGATCCCTTAGAGATAGGCTTGGGACTTTCGGACCATTTCAGGCCACTCAGGGTCAATGTAGACTCTCAGAAGCCTGCTTAGGATCCCGGAGATCGGCGTGGGTCACCCCAAATTTTTACGTGTATGTGGTGCTTTAACCCTATTAGTGGCAGGGGGTTGTTTTCATCCACCCCTCAGGTTTTTCGGGAATATCTCCGAAACCGCTGAAGCTACGATGCTGAAATTTTCTGACTTTTCCTAAAAATAAATTGGGCACATTCCCTGAAAATTTCAAGTTCATAACTTTACCAGGGGCGGCTCCAGAGCACTGGGAATTGGGGGGTCCTATTCGTGAAGCGAGTCATTTGGGCGAAGATTACGATGCTGCACCAGTTTTACGAACAGTGAATGAAAGGTATCATGTGATAACATATACGGTTATTGTGCATCCTCTTTTGACACGTTTTTGCTATAATAGGCGGATCCAGGCGTCCAAAAAGGGGGTTATGTTTTACCTCCCAACATAGGTGCCCTGACACCGCCTATGCATGACCAAAACAATTGTAGTCGTTCTCTCATAAGAAAATTGTAACATAACAAGACCATTACCACCCTTTTTAGAAACAGTACCAACAAAAACCTTATTTACTATACTTTTTGTGTACCCCAAATCTCAATGATCTGTATCCGCCTATGATTTTTGAAAATGCATATTTTTAGGATCCATGTGAATTCCTGGTTCATTCTCTATCGATCGGCAAAAGTTGCGTTAAGATTGGTTCAGAAACCTGGCCGTGATAAACAGTCTAAAATGTATCTGCAATTTGCCCGTTTTTACCCCCCTCTACCACCCCCCCCCCCTATTGACATTTTTAATTTTTATTTTTTAGAAATGTAGATCACGTTGAGCGAAATCGAATGCCGTTTGAATTTTGAAAATCGGCCCGTTAGATCTCGAGATATCAAGGGGGGTCGTAAACAGCCCCCCCCCCCCTGCCACTAATAGGGTTAGGGCATTCCGAGCCCAAGATGGGCCCTCGCAGAAGCCAGTGTGGGTGGCGGGCGCTAAGAGACTAGGCCCAGGGTGAGCCTGGAGCCCTTGGATAACAGTGTGAACCATCGGAGTCTGTTCCGAATCCCTAAGGACCTTACGTAAAGACAAAGAAACATGTGTTTCGGCCCTCAGAGGGACACGTGAGTTGTGACCCCTCAGATGCCGGCTTGGGGTTAGCAAGGTCTGTCGCCTCAAAAGTTCAGCTGGACTATCAGAGGCCAGTTGGTTCTCAGAAATTTTCTGAGGCATCCTCAAAGATTTGTGTGGCCCTTCAGAGGCCTAAGTATATATAAGGTCCTCAAAGGTTCCTGTATTGGCCCTCAGAGAACATGGACACCAGTGGGACTCTCAGAGGCCGGTTTGGGCCCTCTAAAAGCTTCTTAGAGCTCCGTGGAGCTCCTCAGGAGTCTGTGTGAAAAGCAAGCTCATGAGCCCTGCGACACTTGAACGGTACTTAGCCTGTCGCAGACATTTGACGAGAGTTGAGAAAGGCCCCGAAGATTTCGTGTCGCGCTTTGAACGAAAACTATGTGTCAGCACTCCAAAACTTATGAAAATCAGCTATAAAATGTAATAGTGAACCAACTAGGAACAGGGAATGAATCACAGTATTGACATTTCCGAGTCTGGAGTCGGAGTGTTTAAGATTTTGGCGACTGTGACTCCGACTCTGGTTTGAACGACACGCTCCAACCGAGTCTGACCTCACAGGCATTCTCAGAAAGGTACCCCCATTTTTTGCCGACCCCTAAATCTCATCGGATCTGTATCGATCTCAGGAGGTGCCCGGTCCGAGGTTGGGGGGGGCAAGCTGCCCCGCTTGCCCCCCCGTGGCGACGCTAATGCACAGACCACAAATGTGAAAATGGGTTTGTCACATAGGGATGTGGCTATTAATTGTCAGAAACAGTACATGTGACATCATTGTCTAGGCTTGCACAAAATCACAAAACATTTGGTGCATATTTGTTCTCATTCATCCCACCTAAACGGTACCTATCAGTAATCAGTATTGTAGGTACAAGACGTAAATTGGCAATTAATTTGGCTGAGATCAAAAGCCTTTGAATTGCCAATTGGCGATTGGCAAGCTCCCCCACAATGCAGCATCTAATGATGTCTTCCAGATCAGTCAATGGAAAAATGTAGAATAATAGGTATAAGTAAGCCTGGCATCCCAGGAAAATGCCAGATTGGGATGACTGAACTAGTACCATTGTAGGTTGTAGGTTTGTTTGTTTGTTTGTTTGTTGGGGGTTTGGGGCGCGCCGACTGCGAGGTCATTTTGCGCCCATAACAGAGGTTTTAAATACATCTTTACTCTTTAGTTACTTACTTATTTACGATTTATGCTTAGGAAAGGAAAGTAACGGGGAAGTTGGCTGCGCGGATAAAGGAAAATATGCTACCGTTATGGATCCAGCGCGAGTTGTCTGAGAGAAGATCTAAGAGAGTCACCGTGGGCGCAAGATGCCCGAGGTGGTGTGACCGCATCCCGGCAAGCCGGCGGCATGTCAGCAGCACATGGGCCACTGAGAGTTGCTCCCCACAGTGGATGCAGTTCGGTCTATCTTCACCGCGCAGCAGATAGCCGTGAGTAGCGAACGTATGCCCAATGCGGAGCCTGCAAAGGGCAACCTCCTCTTTTCTGCTCCTGCGCGAGCTGGATTCCCACCGACTTAGAGCCGGCTTGATCTCCCTGAGCTTACTGCTCAGCTGTGCCTCCCATGTCTGCTGCTACTGGGAATGCAAAAAGCGACTGACGGCGTGGAAAATATCCCGCGCCGGCAGAGGAAAACGGCGAGTGCACAGAGCTGACATAGCACGCCTCGCGGCAGCATCGGCCAGTTCATTGCCAGTGATGCCCACGTGGCTCGGTATCCAGCATAACTGAACTGACTTTCCAGCCTGCTGCAATGAGGTAAGACGGAGTAAAATATCCTGTACAAGGGGATGACTTGGATACAAGCTCCGTAAGGCCAAAAGGCTGCTCATGGATTTACACCTCAAAATGAGGTGTAAATCCTCTTCACACACTTCGATAAAACAGAGAGCCTTCAAAATCGCAACCAGTTCCGTCGTAAAGACGGAGGCGTCAGATGGCAGTGAAAACGAGCGAGTGGCTCCACTCGCGACAAACGCACAGCAGGCGCCTTTGCTAGACATGGAACCATCCGTAAAAGTCAGGGAGTAACCTTCGTAGGACGCTAAAAGCTCCAATGTTCGGGAACGAGACTCCAAGGGGCAATCTCGCTTTTCCTGACGTCGGCCAAGGAGAGGTCGACCCGTGGTCGGATGAGCTGCCATGGCAGTGATGGCAAAGGTACCTAGGTTTGTAGATTTTAGGTTGTAGGTAAGGTTAGGTCAGGCTAGGTTAGGTTTGTTTTGGTCTATATATCTCGATCGTCCCAACCTTGACCTGGCATCTTCCTCGGACGCCAGGCTTACTACAGTGGAATCCGCTTAGTAAATCCTCGGATAATAAATCCAGTCGCTTACTGTGGCCGCTTGAGGTGTTCACGGATTTTCTCCATAGATGCCCATAGTTAATAAATCCACTTAATAAATCCAGGTACTCCGCATAATAAAGCCACTTGCAAGTTTCGCAGTCCGCAGTGACGTCTTCCCCATCGAAATGTGGCATCCAACACGCTCCCTTTGAGCCGCACTGGAGCAGCGGTCTGCAGCAGTTGGACTTCCCACAACAAAGGGTCGGGAGCTCAGAGCTTCAAGAGCGTCATCACCATGCACCTCAGAGAAATGTTCCCGGCAAAGCAGGCACGCTCGACAGTTTCGTTGGCATAGACAGGATGACGGGAGGGACACGGGATGACGGGACGGGACAGGCTGGCATGACGGTAGAGTGATCGTGGATGGATATGTTGACATGATCGCTGTGACAGCTTTGCAGTGTGCCCTGGTCACTTTCAGGGGCTCCACCAGTCTCAGGTTTGAGGGGATGTGCAACCCTAAAACGCACACCTTTACACATCGGGTTGCATTACAAAAGTCAACTTATTGGTGGTCCGGACCCCTACGACCCCACCGGTGGCAGAGCCCCTGGTCACTATTGGAATAAATAAGGCAATGAGGAATGTCAGCCTATCCGCTTGTATTGAAAGAGGAACAAACGTGCAGCTGCGATACATACTTTTTTAGTGAAAATAACTGACTCCAGTTAATGAAGCCACTGCTTAAAGGAAAAGGGCCACCTTTAACATGGGGATTGAAACTGAGATAGCCATCTTGTAGCCCGTGTCCGAAAACCCACAAGTCCATATCCTTACGGCCGATTTCGGCTTCCATTCGTAGGTATCGGCAATTTTAAAAGAGGAATGCGTCCTTATCCCAGGAATGCGTCCTTACCCTGTAATACAGCCACCCGCGGCGAGGCTTTGGTTTTTTACCAATCAGCTCCAATCAGCTCAGCTTTAACCAATCAGCTTATCTGACACAATCCGACGAGTCTGTCTTCTGAACGCTGATTGGCTTGAGTGTGACGTCATCACTATGCCATCATACAGTAGGTGCCGTAGAGAGTATCAACATAGTACCAATATGTTAAATAGTTTTAAATACTTTTTCGCGAATTGTGCACTTCTGGCACCAGTTTTAAAAAGAAAATGAAAAATAATAATGTCAAAATGAAAAACAACGATATCTTCATATTTCACGAAGGTGGCCCTTTTCCTTTAATAAATCCAAAACCCCTTGTCACCAAGGTGGATTTATTAAGTGGATTCCACTGTAATACCAAATAATACTCATGTTTTCTAAGCAGCTAAGCTTACTGGCATGCCAATATCATATCTTTGCAAGGGAACTCACAGTATTATTTTGATTTGTTATGTCCATGTAAGCGAACTACACAGGGTAGTAGTAAAGCAGGCTTCACACTTCTTTTTGCAACCAAGGAGAGGCGCTGTAGGTTATGTTGTAGGTTGTAGGTTTTAGGTGGTACTGGTAGGTTTTAGGTTTTAGGTTGTAGGTTTAAGGTTGTAGGTTTTAGGTTGTAGGTTTTAGGTTGTAACTTGTAGGTTTTAGGTTGTAGGTAAGGTTAGGTCAGGTTTGGTTAGGTTTGGTTTGGTTTGATTAGAGAGCATCTCTGTGTATAGCGCCTCTCCTTGGTTGGAAAAGAAGTGTGACGCCTGCTTTACGACTACCCTACACAGTAGGTATGCATTAGATTTAGGTCACAGCATAATTCAGCCCCCCACAAAACAGGCCACAGGAAAAAGCTCAAATTATTGAGCACTCAAAATACTGAGCATGCGACGTCAGAGGCCGCCATAGCCGTAATTGTGAGCGGCGCGCCGGCGAGTGCTAAAAAATTGAGCCGTTTCAGGAACACGTTTTACAAAATCAATTCCCAACACCTAGGGAGAAATGGCAAATGAATTGCATTGAATGATGCATTGTTACTTTGAGCTAGCTACATGACTAGACTATATCATAGTGAAATGTGCATAGGCACAGACTTACATACCTGTTTCTCTGTAAAATACCTATCCCACCACAGAGTCAGAGAACGGCCAAAATGAGGACGCCGGTGAAAACAGGGCGCCGCAAGGCCCTATATACCGGGCGCCGGAGGGCATATTAGTCACGTGACATTTGGAACTTCTCCCGCTCCAAGGGTGCAGTTATTTTTTTACATCTTAGTTTTTGTTTACGCGTTTTTAGACGTTTTTCGGCGCACTGTTGTTGAAGTTACACAGGTCTATTTTACAGCTATTTTCGATTCACAAAACTGCTGCAATTTTTAGAACTTTTTTTTTGCATATCGACATTTTGATGGAATTGGAAGGCATTAAAAGAGGTTTATTCTTCAATCTTGAATGCCAATATAATAACAATGTGAATCGAGCCACGCTCGTAGCGAAATATTACGAATCAATGATAATAACAGTAACCGGCAGAAAATATGTAGTTACCGCGATTGTATAGATAATACTATATATTCCGCGTGAAATTGACAGGAAATACCACAATAATAATAGCCTAAACAAATATTGAAATAACTGAAAGCTCATAATACCCGCCTAGCACTGCTAACGCTGACCATTTTCTTCGAACATTAAATGCTTACCATACCATAACATCTGAAGATAATGAACCTGAACCTCGAAAAGCGAGTTGTCCAGTTTCAGTCTCAGTTTGTGCGGTACTGGCAGGGCTGCGGAGTCGATGGATTTTCGGCGACTCCGACTCCGACTCCGACTCCGGCTTTCAAAAACCAGCTCAGACTCCGAATCCGACTCCGGGCAGAATTGTCGACTCCGACCGACTCCAACTCCCGACTCCGACTCCGCAGACCTAGCAGGGCTGCGGAGTCGACAGATTTTCGGTGACTCCGACTCCGACTCCGGCTCGGGTTTTTAAAATCGACTCCGACTCCGACTCCGGTCACAACTGTCGACTCCGACCGACTCCGACTCCGACTCCGACTCCGACTCCGCAGCCCTGGGTACTGGGATACATTCATTATCAGTGAATCAAATAAAAATTGTCCGGGGCATCATGCTGTGATTATATGAACCAGTTAATATGTATAAAATCTAGTTATTGGCCAAACGTAACGGCCATGGACCGTAGGTTGACGACCCCGAAATTTAGCGAAATGAAGTATAGGTTCAAGCACTTTAAATAATGCTGGTGCGTGGAGGTGAATAGTGATGTAAATGTGGCCACAGTCTACAAACACGATAACAAATATCGATTGCGCTTCCGCTTCGCTCAACGAGAGCCATGCTCGTTCTTGCTCATGAAACAGTGCATCCCCATAAAATGAAAAGTCTGAACGAATGCATTCAGGTTCCTACCTCTGAATCACCTTATATTGAGATCCGTTTCTTAACAGGAACACAAACGCGGCCCATCAATTTGTCAGTACTAAGGCAACAGCGTCTGACAAGTGACAACGCATCAAATGGCCAACTTCTGACACTATCTACCAATACGGTTACGGCAATAAAATTGCATTGCAAAATGCAAATAATATTGCACCATTTCCAAGCGCAGCTTGAAACCAAGTGCGACCAGCTAGTGTCATTTTCACAACCAAGTGCGACCAGTTAGTGTCTCGAGATACATTCCAACTGCATAGGTACCGTGCAGTAACCCATTAGGGGCGAAAGGAAACACATGACTTGTGTACGACCAGCGTTCTGTCAGCGTACGACGCATAAAGCATACTGCTCAAACAACTGCGATCCCGAACAACACAACACAGAGCTCCGAAACGAATGGTTTACAAAAGTCTACGACTGACGACATCGAAACAGTACGTTCATCGGGACTAGTCACATGACACGGTCAACCCAGCTGGGTTATGGGTACTAATTGCGCTTCAAATTGACCTCTGACAGCCATTTACTTACGCTAGTTTGATGCATAAACTGTACATTGAAACTCAAGCGGCAGCACATAGGTCTCCATCAAGGTGGTTATATACAACAGAGCACCTCGCTAAAACGAGCGCGAGCCGCACTGTCACACTGACAGTTAACACTGAGCCGCGAGTCGTGACAGTCGCACTGCGTCATATGCACGCAGATGTCGCACTCACGGCACCGTTGCTGGCACTGCACTGCGGGTGGACACGCGCGGTGCAGTAGCTCCACGGTGTGCGGCTCACCGGAGGGATTATCAGTCTCCGACCGGACAGTCCAGGCGGGAAATGCGGTGTCTTCAATCATGACCGCCGTCCCCGTCTCCGCGGAGTGCCGCACGGCGGCGACGCGGCGGCGTCGGATCTTGAGCTGGTGGACACTGGACTCCTGCCAGAGCTACCAGCTTCAGCCCTTCAGCATCCTGTCATCAGCAAACTCCAGCAGAGCTCCAATGCAACTGGGAAAATAAAATTTATGCTGTTAAGCTAAATCATGCAAAACATTTCCTTGCACAGGATTCTCTTGCGCAGTTCAGCAAAATCTTCTGTGATATCCATGGCCGTGACAAGAAGACTTGATGCCATTGTAAAAAATATAGGTTCATTGGTTCTCATTTACCCACATCGAGCCTCTATAGGTACCATTCATTTGTATATCATGAAGTATGTTAACTACACAATATTTATGCAACAGACTGACATGAAATATGTAGGAATGGCAAGAGAGATGGGTAAATAAGCTAAATAGGTTGCAGGATTTATTGGCACCAAACAGGTCAGAAAGTAGAAGTTCAAACAATCTTACAAACTACACCAGAGAAAGTCTTTGAATTAGGCACAAAATTATGCCACAGAAATAAAAACAATGTAGTTTTGTAGAGCATTTCCCAAAAGATAATTGTGATTCAGCCTTGCTCCCATCTGAGATTGAATAAATACAAATTATGAGGTGAAAGTTACTGAAAAGCAGTTTTTTTTTTAGAAAACAGCTTCAATCCATGTTTGCCTGATTTCAAACTCAAGGCAACATCTCATAGCTTTGACAGCATGAAATTTCATTATTGAGGTTACAATTTCCATAATCTTGTCGTTGTCACAAACAGTGCATTTAATATGGATAACTAACACCAAATCAGCCAACCTTGTATCTTTATCTGGTGAAACTCAAGAAACCAATAAAGCAAACAATTTCTGAGCAAAACATTTAGGTATTTGACAAGCTCGACTACTGCCATGCAGCCTAATGCTCGTTGTTACAGATTAAATACCTACATTTCAAATATAAATTTGGTAGTTCAATATATAATGAAACACCCAGCTCAATAGAGGCAATTATGATAATGACAGCAGGTAAGCAAAGTAAAAACAAAATCAAATATTTCTTCTACAGAAAAAAGCACTTGTACCCACTCAACTTAATTTTACTAAATCACTTATTTGAATTATCAGTCATCACCAGACTTGCAAAAAACTTTCTAGATATTATGCCACAAAAAAATAAACAAAGTATCTGAAATTGCACAATATAAGCACCAGCCACTGGAGTGGTATGATGGGGTCTCGAGTAACTTGAACGTTCGGTCTGTAAGAGCATGCCTGACTTGACTTAACGGCTTTGAGACATCTTTGCAGCAGCCCCTCCTATTCTTTTCAACATAAACTTAAACTATCATTACCATGCTATGATGATGAGGTGGCTGGTTTCGGGCGCATGAAAAGTAGCAGTCCTTCTTTCATTCTATTTCCTTGTTTTCACATGCTGCACAAAATGTTTTTTCTTCCACGTTCCTTCTGTCATTATAAAAAATAATAGGTATCATAATTGCTTCACTTCTTCTTTATATTCCAAGTATTGCTGCTGAAATTCATCACATCTCCCGTTAGTAAACCATTGCCGCTAAAGAAAATAAGTGGAATGCGCCAGAAATTGTCAAAATCGCGCCAAAATAGCAAACTAAGATGAGAAAAAATAACCGCACCCCGCTCCAAGGGCCTTCTATATGCCAAACGTCACGTGTAAATTTCACGAACCTTGATCAAATCGCCCCAGGCGCCCTGTTTTCACCGTCGTCCCAAAATGAAAAGTAGGGACAGCGACCGCGGGCAAAGCGGCGTGATCTTCGGTTATCTTCGTTCTAGTACAGTGTTGGTGAGGTCCACTCTTCTTTGGTAATCTGGGATCTACACCATTGCATACTTTGGACTGCTTTGGACTATTTGAATAAATCGATTAAATCCAATGAAATGCGACTATGTTGTAATATTTTTCCAGTCTGATGAAAATAAACGTAACGTCGCAGCCGCGCAGGATATGTAGCAGATATAACTGCCATATAAAGGAATGAGAAGAGGAATATACCAAAATACCTCCGGGAGGTTAGCTTCAACATGCACTGGGTCGCTCTATTGCACTGAACTCTATAATGCTCTATTACTCTATAATGAACTCTATAATACTCTATAATACTCTATTACTCTATTGGCATGACAGGTCGCGTTATCTGTGTCTTGAGTCTTCAGTATGGCTTCAACGCCTACCTCGCCAACGCCAAAAGATGGAATAATCGTATTGGCTCATACTGTACAAACATACCTACAAGCATATCTACTGGCTGCTGTTATATTATTTTTACCACTAATATTTACGACTCAACTGCTACTCGGCCCGGGCCCGCTAGTAGAGTAGACGTTTGATATTTTTTCATTGGCTATTTCATGACTTTGGCTATGCTGGATCCTAATTTACCCTGGGGACAGTTAACCCGCGCCCCGCTGGGGTCCTGGATTTCCACGCCCTGTTCGGGGAGGGGTTGAACAGTTGAACACCCCTCTTCTAACTCGGCTCCTGGGCAACGTAGCGACGCGCCATAGGCGGCGTCAGTGGCGTATCTAGGATTTCTCTCAGGGGGGGGGGGGGGGGTCCGCAGTCAAAAGGGCCCTTGACCAGACATGTACACGGATCCCAGACAACCAATCACGGAAATCGAGATGGCCATTAGATTGACGGTCTTCAAGCATGAAATTATGATGGAAAACATGGCTAATAGAAGCCTCTCAATGAACCAACTATTTTGCATTCCTTCAGAGTTAACAGTTCAGAGTAAATCCCTCAAGATCCATCTCGGATCCATGATTCGTGATCGTGGATCCGAGATGGATCTTGAGGGATTTTCTGAAAACTGTAAGCACTGAGGGAATGCAAAATAGTTGGTTCGTTGAGAGGCATCTATTAGCTATGTTTTCCACAATAATTTCACGCTTTAAAGGAAAAGTGCCACCTTCTTGAAATATGAAGATATCGTTGGTTTTTATTTTGACATTATTATTTTCCATTTTCTTTTCAAAACCGGTGCCAGAAGTGCATAATTCGCTAAAAAGTATTTCAAACTATTTAACATATTGGTACTATGTTTATACTCTCTACCGCAGCTACTGTATGATGTCATAGCAATGACGTCACACTCAAGCCAATCAGCCTTGAGGAGGATAGACTCGTCGGACTGTAGCGGTTGTAAACAACTTGTCGCCCCGTGTGTCTGCCCGTGGCGCTAGTTATCTGTCGAAGGTAAGGGTGAAAGATGGATATAATGGCCATGGAACGCTATTTTAGGATTATTGGTGAATAGCAAGAATATAGTTTTGGTGGTTTGAAATTGTTTGTCCTCAGTGATTCGCTTGATTCTCATTATGCGGCATAAGCGGCTGTTTGGTTACATTGCATTTTTTATGATTGTGTAATTATTATGATTATGTTCCTCCAAAGTAGGCATCACATATCAATCTCAAAGGCAGATCATCTTCTTTTCATGCCTATAATTTTCTTCAAGAATATTAATAAAAAATATTCCATTTACCCCTGCCTATCATATATCCCATGGAGCTGCCGGTGGAAGTAGGCATGCAATGTGACCTAGCATTGGCGATGTGGTTAATTAGCTTTAAAGTACTATGGAATGCTAAAGGTCATCATTTAGAATGGTTTTCAAAACATTCCACTAGGAAATATTCATTGAAACCTGAAAATTACTTACAAAATGTAAATGTATAGCCACGTCTCAAGAGCATTCAGCCGTCTTCTCAGTAAATATATAATGAAACATAATCTTACCTGACCTAGCCTTACCTACAACCTACAACGTACGGCATTGGTAAAGCTGGCATCACTGTCAGCGTATATTAGTTTGGTAGGTTGTGGGTAGGTAGGTTGCAGGTCAGTAGGTAAGGTTAGGTTACAGTTAGGTTAGATTGTTTTTAAGATTCCTTTTATCTACACATTTACCGGTTAGCGCTGACGGTGACACCAGCTTTACCGATACCCAACCTACCACCTACAACCTACAACCTAAAACCTACATTCAATGGTGGCGGGTGGTGATAATTGTTATACCTATATGATAATACTGGAGATAAATACCATACAGATTAGCTGGTATCCATGACACACTTTCTTAAGAAGAAGGTCTTCTATTAAATCATGTCTATTTTATAGGAATGAAATGATTTTTGTTGTAGTCACATTCCCTACTCTGACCATCATGTCTGATTATTTCCAGTTACCACTGACAATGCCCAAAACAAGAACAACAAAGGCCCAAAGGTGGCTGTTTGGTAGTGCGCAAAGCTCCTGGTAAGTGGCATCAAAGGATAGGATGTTGTTGTTGTTATGGGTTAGGGCGCGTAGCAACTTGGCTCTTGCGTCCAACATCAAAGGATAGGATGTGCTTTGTTATTTCCAGGCACGTAGCCAGGATTTTGCTCAGGGGGGGGGGGGGGGGGTCACAGGTTGTGGCCTAGTGTTGTACCCCCTCCAAAAAAGGAAAATTTCTCTGATTAGGCCCACTATTTTGGGGGTGTGTCACAGCTGTTTTTATTTTTAAAAAAAATCGCCATCACCGAGGGGGGAAGGGGCACGAGGGCATGGCTCCCGTGCCCCTCCCCCCTCCTTGGTTACGTCCTTGGTTATTTCTGAGAGTTTGGATATCACAAAGCTTTAGATATAAATTAGAATGTAATAAGAAGCTTACAGCATTGCACCTTTCCAGACACTGATAATTCATTTGCCTTTATTGTTTCAAAAGTCAATTTTCAACACAAAAAAGTTGAAATTATTAACTCAAATAATTGCAAATATATACTTTGGTAATTTGCCTTTCGCATCACTATCAACAAAATAATCAAGGGTGACTAAATATGAAATGTTCCTGCATGATCTTCATCGTGAACAATTGTCAAGGTATGATGTTTGCGTGTTGAAATGTTATTAAGAACTTATGTCATAAAAACACAACTTGTAAAATTGTGTCTTTCCATATTATTCTGCAAGTAAGCCTTGGAAGGAAGAGACACTATTCCGTCCTACAGAAGCCATTTAGAAATGTGTGACATGTTCAGCACTTTGAGTCAGTCGGTGCCCGGACCTCAGTCGGCTGTATGACCGTCTCCTCGTCCTCTTTTGTCGGCTCCGCCCCGTGCTGTTCTATAAGGGTGTCTGACCCGCTGCCGCTATCCCCACTGTGAGGTCTGACCCGCCGCGCGCTGTCACCACTGTCGGCCCTCTGTGTGCGCGGCAGGTGGTGGTGGACGTCTCTGCCCTGACGCGCGGCGTGCGTCTGCTCAGTGTGGAGGTGCCGCTGACAGCGGTGCCGGCCGGACCGGCTGCCTCTCCGGCGGCCGACATTGAGCGCGGCACGTGTCCGCCGCCGTTCGGGCCGCTGCAGCTGCTGCAGTCGGCGGCGCAGCTGTCCGTCTCCGTGTCGCTGGCCGTGCCGCTGGACCTGCTGCCGCGGCCGGCGCCGGCGCGCTGCGCCTACGGCCGCCTGCTGGCCGTCGTCTCGCAGCGCGGCCTGCAGCGCAGCGGCGTGCTGCAGCTCATCCAGCAGCTCAACGAGCCGCCCAGCCCGGCGGCGGCCGAGGGCGCCGCGCCGCGCCGGCCCGGCGACGTCAGCACACCTGGCATCAGCGGCTTCTGCCTGGCCGACCGTCAGCTGCACCTGCTGTTCGCCGAGGGGCGCGCCGACGCCGAGCTGGAACAGACGGCGGCCGGGCCGCGCGCTCTGCCGCGCCGCGACGCTCGACTCTGCCACCACTCGGGCCGATTGCTCTTGATCGTCAATACATACATACATACATACATACTGTTTAGGGAGGCCAGCCGGCCGCGTTCCGCGTGCTCGAGGACCGCCCGCTACGCGCCCAGCTGCTCGACACCCGCCTCTACACGTTACAGAAACAGGAGCCGGCGCGCGCCGTCCGCGCCATCAGAGAGTGCTTCCGCACGCAGTGGCTGTCGGAAAATGAACCTGCTTCCGAACGAGGCCGGCCTGCAACAACTGCTGGCCGGCTGTTGGCCGAAAAAAAACGCCTTCAACCGGATGTCAGTTGTCAAATCAACGCGTATTAATGCATTCACTAGGATGGGCTTACGTAAAGCTGTAGAATTGCAAATATATAATGGCACTGTTTTTGATCCGTTCGGTATGCATTGGTATCATATGATCTCTCATTCACAGACGATCAGCTGCGAAGACCCAGATCCGTAGTAGAGGGCTCATCGAGTCCGGGTCCAGCTCCCCGTACTTCCTCCACTTTGGAAACACCGCAGCGAAGATCACAGTTATACATAATATTTAGTTTTCATTCACTTCATAACCGAAGGTTGTTTGATAGGTGATATGCTGCTTGAGTTGCACCCCGGTATATCAATACGAAGCTTCCGTCCCTGCCACATACCAGTGAAGGAGGCGGCGGCGGCGGCGGCCGGGGCCGGGCTGCCCTGCTCACCGACACAGTCTGTGAAATGCCCCAACAACCTTTAAAATTCAACAGGCTTCATAAATGTTTTTTTGCACCATATTTTCTCGCGTATATGAAAGCTCTAAAATGTACAATATTCCTTTCAGCCACAAGCGATATAAAAGCTCTACAAAACGTCATGTCTCTGTGTGCAAGAAAGACACATATATTGTGTATAATCGAGCGTACATGATCTGCAGCGCTGCGGAGGGCTGCTCGGTTGCCGCTTTTTACCAGTCGGCTCTAGGTCGGACATATGGGTAAACAAAATGGAATAGTAATATTAAACAATGCTACCTGCTGATGCTACTGGGCCTCTCATTGGTGAAGAACTGGCAGCCAGCCAGCGTGTTTTTGTGAGAACTGTTTTAACAGCAGCAACCGAACGGCTCTCGGGCCAGCGACCAGTGAGCGTAGACAGCACAGCGCTCCGTTAGGCATCGGCGGGCAAGCACGCATTAGCTGTGGACGGACCGGCCGCCCGAACATATTTGTCGGTATCGAAAGTATCGTGAACCAAATGACTGCTAGCGAAAAAAGGACTGCCTCTCGTATCCATGAAAACATGTGTTCTACAAAAGTACATAATTGCTTAGTTGTCGCCAGTCACTCATTGCACCATGGCGTCAGTGTGGGGCCGCGCCCCGAATCATCTCAATCGCCAGGCAAAGCATCTCAATCGACAGGCACATGGTAGTCCAGCTACGAATCCGAGCCGCGGCATCCCGTCTATGTATCTACATTACACCACAATCGAACACTGTCGGGCCACCCGAGACAGCAGTCTCCAATGTAACATCAAAACCCGCCACTCGTCTAATATCAGAAAAATGAGCATTGAGTACCTACCGAATATCGACTACAGAAGATTACAATGGGGTGCAGATCTAGCAAGAGTGTCGCGGTTCGTCTCGGCACGGCTTACAGGCCGCCGAGCCCGCGCAGGTGACCGCCAGCTCCACCTGTTCCACCTCCGGCGCGGAAGCTCGATCACAAGACTGACCTCAGTCGGCGCTCTGTGCTCGGCACAGGGCGACCGGGTCAGGAGCGGGCCGCTGCCGCCAGGGCCGCGGCCACCAGCCACGCGGCAGCGCCCGCGCACCGGCCGCCACCACCCGCTCAGCCCAGATGCGCGCCACGGCGTCATTGGGGCTTCCCTGAGCAGGATCGAACCAGAGCTGCATGCACGGCTCCGTATCCGCCGTGAACTTCCACGAGTGATCCCACACCTGAAAAAGGCGCACGGTTTGCGTCACAGCTCGGCTCACTTTCACAGTCCACGCACCGGCAGCAATTAAGGGCTACTTAGATAGTGTGCTAATAGAGCGCAATCACTTAGCTTAATCCATATAGTCAACCATGAATTGTTAATTACGAGCGAGCGAGCGAAGCGAAGTCTTTTCAATATCACGGAAAAAGCTCAGTATGAGCGGCCCGACCCGGCCCGGCCTGTAACGCTTTTGAGAGGCTTATATCTCAGCAACCGCTGGACCGATTGGCCTGCGGTCTTTTTTTTGTTGGCTAGCCCTATTCCCTCTACCCCGTAATTGACTACTCTTGATACATTACAGGGACCGTCGTGGCACGTGCCACGTGAAAAGTCAAGGGTGTTATTTGTCAAAAGTTGCAAAAGAAGTGATTTTGAGAGGCTCATCTCAGCAGCCGCTTGGGCGGTCTTGCGGTAAATTTTGTAGGGTAGCTGCACCCCTTCAACCAAAGGTCGGATGCTCTTGATCTATGTGAGTGACCCCCACTGCACGTGCAAAATGCAAAAAGAAGAGGTGCCGAATTTGTTCCCATTTCAATAACTCTGTAATTACTGGGGCGATTTAGCTGAAACTTGGCATACAGGTAGGCAGTAGGCACCCACCAGGCAATGCATTCCCATATGTTGCGGTTAGGGTGCTACTGCTTAGTGTATTATGTGTAAAATAAAGGACGCTTGAATCTTACCTGAGTGATGTCCATTTCTTGATCACTTTCATCTGTGGGTGACCGAGCAGCGACAGCAACCCAAGGCGTATACGGAATCTGTAAAAAATCAGCACACCGTTACCACATGTTTTAATAAAACTTACCTATAGGGAGGTAGCATAAAATACAGATCAAAACAATAACATACAAACATACAGATATTCGGTTAGGTTGAAATGGCTAAAAAATATAAAAAATAAGGGCAAGGTACTAGGGCTGTAAAGCTGTAAGGGCTCGGTACTAGTAATAATTTTTGGCTAAAAATATCACAAATAAAGACTCTGCACTAAAGCTGTAATGTCTGGTACTAGGAATAACTTTAGAGTGAAGTGTTACAAAAACAATATTCAAAGTCTTTTGATAACTTTGCAGGCATTTTCATCACTTTTAAAAAATAACTTACATTCTGATCCGGCACAGCACTGTTCTTTAGACGCAAACGTTTTTGACTGTGCTTATCATGGTGCGCACTTCTTGTTAAGTTTAAGTGGTCATGTGGTCTTGGCTCATTGGTCATGCCACACACCCTCATCCACTTTTCTCTGTACTTCTTTTTTAAGCGGGAACCTAAAAGTAAAAAAGGGTCAACACATGCTTAGTCCATGCAACACATACTCTGTGTATTAAGCTGAATAGCTCCACTGAGCCCAGTTTCACCAAGTGCGGTAAACTTAATTTTGGGGTAGTTTTTGTAGTTAAGTAGTGGGGTAGTTTGGTAGTTTACCCCAAATTGAGTTTACCGCACTTGGTGAAACTGGGCTCTGGTGAGTTTCCTTTTCTTGTCAGCACATAAGTGAAAGAAAACTGTGTAGACAAGAGATGAACCAAACCCCCATGGAAAGGTAGGTGTTACCACAACCAGGAAATGGGATTTGAAGGGCTGGATAAATGTGTCTGAGTTCTGCCTTTCAGCCAGACTGGAAAACATCCATACACTACGCCGGATGCCCGTGAGCCCCTCATGCGCCAAAATTTGAAGCAAGCAATTTTGAGCTGAAATTCCAGTGCATGATTTCCACTGAAAGTTGGGTGCCTGTTTGCACCAAAATTAAGCCACTTTTACATAAAGCACATGTGCATATCTACCGACCAAGGCTATATCAACCAGACAGATCGTTCCGGGGCCTCGGAGTCAGACGCTCTTCCCTTTCTGAGCGTCTGAATTAGTTAATGTTCCCATGAAAACCCAATACCACAATTTGTGTGGCACACTGTAGAATCTTAAGGTGAAACAAGGCCCAGGCCGGAAGTTCCGACTCTCTTCAGACCTGCCAGCGCCCGCAGGGCAAGTCTGCTGCTAGATTGACCACAGCGTGTCAAAAAATTCGGTGACAGCCATTTGCATAAACATTATGCGCCATGCGGTCACCCTGCGCCTAAAAATTCAGCTGCCACCATGCGCTGAATTTGACGCATGCAAAATTATGCTGGATGTGCGATGAAATTTTCGGGGCAACGCCGCAATCACGCCACTTCGCATGACATATTCGGCATAACTTGCGTTTTTTTATCCAGTCTGGCATTTCAGTTGTGAAAGCCTGAACAGTTCAAAAGGGTTTGCTAATCCAGGGGAGAGTTCTGTGAAAACAAAAGTAATAGAAGAGCCATTGCAATAAATAAGAATTTAGGTACCTACCTAGGTACCTAGGTACTTACTTGTGCACAGTCACACGCATATCAGTCCCGACCCGACGTAGGTCGTTTGCTCCGCGGATCACGCACTTCTTCATCGTTATTATAGGTATTTGTTCGAACAAAAATGCCCTGATTTCGGATCAGAGCCACGGTATAAAATATGGTATACTGCCTTGCGTAAGATAAAAATGCATTTTAGCAATTGGCTACCAAACGAGATGTCATCTGTTCAGGGCATAGCATAGGTTTACTTTCATAGACCTCATGAAAGTAGCTCATGAAACTCATCACCAATCAGCGCGACGGATTTCAAGATTCGATTGCGGATGTTCATCCGCCGGCCGATTGCCAGAACAGACAACGAAAAATAACGCAACTGCTCGTGGTCTGCTCGCTAGTACAGGGATCCGTGCCTGATCAGTACTGCTGCAAGCTGATTGGTTAAAAACCAAAGCCTCGCCGCGGGTGGCTGTATTGTCGGATAAGAACGCATTCCTGGGATAAGAACGCATTCCTGGCATATTTTCTTTTAAAATTGCCGATAACTACGAATGGAGGCCGAAATCGGCCGTAAGGAGGTAGACGGAGAGGTTTTCGGACACGGGCTACAAGATGGCTATCTCAGTTTCAATCCCCATGTTAAAGGTGGCCCTTTTCCTTTAAGACCACTAATCTAGTGGTAATTTTGATTTTCGTGTTTGGTCGTCTGGGATCCGTGCCCATGTCTGCCCTTGACTGACTGGGTTGAAAGGGCCCTTAAGTGGCATAAGGGCCCTTGTAGCCTGAGTTGAAAGGGCGTTCAACCCGCGTCCCGGGGGGGGGGGGGGGGGGGGCGAAACGGCCCCCTGTCCTCTTCCGTAGCTATCTCCTAAATGACTGCAGATATCCCCACCAAACTTTCAGGACCTCTACGGGCATCCATTTTACACATTGTGACCAATTTTTTTCCAGAGGCTATGATAGGTTGGCCGCAAATGACGTCATGTTCTGCCATTTTCGACCCAAAAAAGGTTTCGCAGGAAGAGCTGTCAGCTCTACAGAGCTGTAGAAACATAAAAATGTTCCGAGATAAAAGGTGTACAATTAACAGGCCTAGGTCAAATCTGAGCACAGTTTAGCCCCGCCTTGGGTTGGGCCCAGGCTGGAGCGTTGACCCTAGGTCAAATCTGAGCATAAATTACAGAAAGAGTGTCAAAAGAGTTTTGTTTGTTTTGTTGGGCTATACCCTT